GCTGCAAGGAAGAAATACCAAAAGGAACAAGAAGCACTACAAGAAGCAGAGGAGGAAGAGCGTAAAAAGGTACATCTTTCCGACTCACTTGGAATGCTCTTTGGTGTCTCTAACGACTATTTAGATCGCATCTCAGGAAGCCCAACGAAGAAGGGCAGCTGATCGTATTCGTCGCGAGCAACTACGCAGAGAGGAAGAAGAACGGGAGCAGCGAGCTGCTGAAGCACGCCGTTTAGCGGCACAGGAAAGAAGGTTGGAAGAAGCCAGACGCTCTGAAGAACGCAGGAGGTACGAAAAGACGCGGCAAGAGGAACGAGAACGTCAAGAAGAGGAACGAAAACAACTTGCAGCCTCAGAGCGTGAGACTAGGATTAAGGAAATCCAGCGACGGTTTGAGAAGCTCAAATTGACATCAAACGTTCTCCTAACCGGCTATGTCTCCGTTCAAGCAGCAAATACGATCGTCTGGAGACGACGATATTTCCAACTCCAAACCGATAGCATGTTGTTCTTTAAGAACGCAGAGGTCAGCTACTTCTCTCATGCACGATGATGATGTTCTCAGATAAGCATAGGAAACGCATAAAGTGATAGAATCGTTTGAACTTCGCGGTAGTGTTAGTGGGATCAAAGAGTGGAAGGATGGTTATGACGATATACGAGCGATACCCCATTCCTTTGCTGTAGAATTCATGGACCAACCTGCCTGGCTGTTTTTCGCTGACTCAGAAGAGGACAAAGATGTTCTTGTCAGCTTAATTTTACAGCTCGCAAGGCTTTAATGTCCAAACGAGAACATCAATTATCTTTACAGAAGATTGCAGCCAGGATACCCCTATTTGCCTATTTCTTGATATTTACTTCCCAGTCTTCTGATGCTTTCTCAATGGATTCGGCGGTAATTATACCCGTATTTTCCTCCTATGGTCGCCTATGCAATACAAGAATTCAAGAAAGTCTGAGGCCCTAAAATAGAAGGAGTCTCAAGCTTTACCGTATACCATAATACCTGCCTCAATTTCTTTCACTTTCCAACCCTCAGATCTTAGAGCCTTCAATAGCATGGGAGACAAGACACCCCGGTTACCAACTGAGTGTTTACCTTTACCAGTAATGAAGCGGATAGGATCTTCCCTTCGTGAGGCTGATACAATTATTAATAACTCTTGAGTGAAGCGTTGCGCTATTTGCTTACCATCAGGCATGTGCGCACGGGTAGACAGTGTCTCTCTCGCGATGAACAATGCTTCATCCCGCGTCATTCCATGCAAATCGACAATGTTCTGGGCCTGGTGAAAACCCAAGGCTTTGCCCCGCTCCCTGTAGAGAATCTTAACCCTTTGTAGACCATAGAAGTTGAACTAACCTGTTTTGTATCACCAACGCCCTAGCCGCCTCAATGGCTGCTCCTCGACTTTGTTGGAGATATTTTTTCGCTTCCTCGGCGTAAAAGGCAGCAACTTGGCGTCCATATCCATTCTGGCTCCTTTGCCAGTGTTGGGAGGCCTTGCGCAGGGCTTCCGCTCTTTTCTCTCTCCACTCCTGCTCGACAGCACGATGCATTGCTACATCGTTTACTGAAGAACCTGAGGTTGTCCATGCAGGTAATGCTTGTCGCCCATGGTATGTAGGCACACGATTTGCACGGGAGAAGCTCCATTCTCCTGTCCTTGATCGTCGCTGAGCTCCTCCCTCGTTCCCATACCAGGTTTCTGAGCGAGGATGAGGTATTGCCCTAGGTCGGATATCTAAAACGGTCTTCGTTGGCCTTCCTGTTGTGGTGCTCAGCTTTTCATCAAGGGGACTGGGTAATTCCTGATGAACAATTGGACTTGATTGTTCTAGGCCCTCGAGTACACGATAAAGATCTATGGCTTCGAGTATCTTCCCTTCTGTGGCGCGAAGGCATCGCTGAGCCCATTCCAGTTCAAGCTGCTGTTGGTCCGATTCGACTGCTAAAATATCAAACAAAAGTGACAGTTTACTCTCCATATCCGTTTCAGATATTTGGAATGCTTGGAGGGTATCGATATGTGCGCAAAGTGCTTGAAATGGTGTTGCATGCTGTGGTGAGTGGAAAAGGGAGAGGAAGGTTTGTGGCGAAGAGGAAAGTATTGTAGAAAGATATTCTGCTAAAGATGCAAGTTGAGACCATGGATCTATCCGTTCCTCCGTTGCTTGATGCTTCTTAGCTTGGGCTACTTGACGGTGACGGACATCACCGATAACGATACGCTCCACCACATTGGCGGATTTCCTTTTGCGGCCCTTTTTCTTTCTCTCCAGGGCGATTTCCCGTGAATCTGGTTGAGTTGATGGTGACCCTTCGTTCATGTAGCTTTCTTGCAATGACTCTTTCAATTCTCTGGATAAAATCTCCTCGACTATAGCTTCCATGTCAATAGATTCGTTGTATTCTGGAGAGTTCCTGATAATTTCCTGGAGAGTTTGGCCAGAAACACTGGGAAAGGCCGCTTGCAGAAATTCCATTGGAGGCCCGATAGTCTCAGATTGGCTTATATTCATGGATGAAAGGGAAGAGCTCATTTCTGTGATATCTTCGGATCGGTTAGTGACTGCTATATCTGAGTGAATGGTAATAGTCGCTGAGTTGTCTTCGATAGCATGCGCTGCTAGTTCGTCGAGAGTCTTTCTGAGATTGATTAGGGTGTTTGAAGATATGCTATCAATATCATTGCATAGTGCCATAACAAGAGTGGTGTCTAAAGGAGGACAGTAATGTTTCTAACTCGAGGTGAGAGCCTGGACATGCATCAGGTGATCAAAAACTTGCCATTAATTCTTGAACAAGGTTCTCTTTCTTGAATATCTGCGAATCCCCCATGTTGATAGGTAGATGAGCACTATTGAAGTATTGCTTATGGTGATGGTTGAATCCAGGTTATTCGATTCAACGGCACTGACTCGACACCTGCTCTGCCCAAAGACTACATCCTAAAACCTCAGTTACTATTCAATTTCAAGATACAGAGGTATAAGTGACATAGCCTCGATAGTAGCAACTAGCTAATTGAAGTATATCAAGCAAGGAAAGGTAAGCCCGGCTCACTACCAAAACCCACGCCGAGGTGGTGGGTGTTTGTCACGTGTATCGAGGAAAGTGCAATCTCCACGCAATGCAATTGCGTTTTTGATACTGTCCAAAGCCGCATTTTCCTCTCCCCCTTCTAACACGTACTGCAGCTCAAAAGTAGTCATGAAAGGAAAACATTCTTTCTGAGATAGAAGTTCTCCAAGCAATAATTGATCCAGAGGGTCGTAGACGATCAACTTCTTAGTAGGTATACGGCACATGTGTCGAAACTCTACGTCCGTAGCGTGGACAATCCTAAGTGATTCTAGTGGCGGTCGAGAGACTGGTTTGAGATTCTGCATGATTCTAACTCGCGTTTGTGAAACACCCTCGTTGGAGGCATTACCTGTTCGCGTTGTTTTAGAGGCGCAATAAAGATTTATGCGTGGC